CACAGTGGCTGTGGACAACTTCACAGTGCTGAGACTTGACCCCTTGCTCCACCAGGGAGACCCTGTAATGCAAAAATCTTAAAGCAATACATTTCCATGTGTCCTTTCCTCTGGAGTCAGAAAGGCTGATACTGGGGTTCTGTCTTTTGCTCTTGGTTTCCACACGCCTCATGGCTTTCCCCACTTCATTCCCTGAATTTCTATCATCTGTTGTGTTTAGCTGTTCTTTGTTTTGGGTTTTGTTTTTATAGTGAAATGTTCAAATTCCTTTCTTATTTTCTTTTATGTACATTCTACAGCTCTTTTCTTTATGGTCACCAGAGGGATTACATTTACTATCCTGAAGTTATAAAACTCTAATTTGAAATGACAGCATTTTAAGGTGAGTAGCATTCAAAATTCTGCTTTTCACTCTATCTCCCATCCTCACCTCTTTCCATTAGTGATGTCACAGAATTACAGCTTTATATATTATATGACCCCAAAACACAAACTAATCATTCCTTTTACATGAGTTAGTTTCTTGAATTATTTGGTAACAAATATGTTACTATCCAAGTTACAATAACGATGCTAATAATTTTTTACATATATTCATCTCTTAACTCATGTGAGAAGAAAGCTTCTGTCATAGCCTGTGTTTCCCCTTTCCTGAGACCTCTACTTCTTCACACTGTGAGTGACTGTCCAGGGCCACCTTCAGGGCCCCCTTGAGTCCTCCTTACAGTCAAGATAAGTCCAGTGGTGACAGACACCTCCAGTTTTTATTTAGTTGACAATGTCTCAACTTACCCCTCACTTTTAAAGAACAGACTTGCTGGCGATGGGATTCTTAGCTGATAGTGCTTTTCCGCCCTTTTAGCACTTTGAATATTTGACCCACTGGCTTTAGGGCTCTCGCATTTCTGGTGAGCAATCTGCTATGACCCCTTGAACACAATGAATCACTTCTGTTAACCAGATTCTGTCTTTCAAAAGTTTGTTTATGATGTGTGTTGGTGTGAGTCTTTGAGTTCATCTAACTGAGAATTTGGGGGGGTCCTTTGCTGCTTCTGTTCCTCTATTTTATCGTTTTGGGGCATTTT